GAGGAAAAGGTGTCAAAGGTCAAAGATATTCTTTCCCCCTGTTCAAAATGCAGATTCTTCAACAGGTAAAAGTGGAAAATACCCCAGCCCCTGAATAAAGAAAATGATTTCTCAGAAACCTGGATCAAAATAAACCAGGGATGAATTTAGGTTCACTCCCTAGGCAAACTCAATCCAGCACAGTGGCCCCTGGGAACCTTGCTGGTAAGGATTCTGAGGTTGCATCCAGACTTAGGCAGAGAGAGTTTGGAGGATATGGACCAGAACAGCCGTTTGTAACAAGCTCCTATGTTTGTCTTTACACACTAAAATTTAACCTGTAGCAAATAGCTACTTACAGTGTGTACATGACTACTACTCATACCCATGATAATTGTTAATTGGGCACTTATTTTCCAACAGGCACTTGTTTATCTAAATCATTCAATCTTTATTACAATTCTATGTTGCATACAAGTAAACTAGAAAAAAACAGAGGTTTTTTTAAATTGCTCAAGATCATGGAGTTATTAGCAAATATTAAATACAGGATCTAAGGCAAGTATTCTATCTCCAGAGGATGCATTCTTCATCATACTCCAAGGTAGTGCTTAAGACTTAAATAACTTACATATATTCAATTGGGCATTATTTTCCATTGGATAATCATGATTTGCCTCTTTGGGCAAGGTTCATCAAGAACATGGAATCATTATTTCAAAGATATCTGAGGCATGAAAAATAAGAAAGTTACATAGCAGTTAAAAAATTGGGAACTCAAGTAAGAGTTGAAGATTAGGGGAATTAGAGCAGGGAGGTTAGCCTGGAAGGGCGTTAGAAACACTTTAGGTGAATAAGGAAATCTGCATTTTTTTTAGTGGTCCAAATTGAAAAATAAAACCAACAAATCATAACTAGGATCATTTAAATCTCAAGCTACTGGAGAGAAAGGCTCTAGACACAGGGTGTCACAGTTGGCAACAGCTTAATATTATCTAACAAATTTCCTGTAGAGCTTGAAATTTCATTACTTCTCAAGTCCAGTATATAGTCAAGTAGGTTTGAATGTACTCAAGATGACACATTTTGAGATATGCCATGGAAAATGTCTTATGAAGGATAAACTTTCAAAATCCATAATTTAAAATCTGAACTTTTAGAGGCTAATAATGATGATGAATTCAATAATAAACACAACACCTAACACTTTTTTAGGGCTTACCAACTCAAATACTGTGCTAAATGATTTAAAGAGACTAGCTTATGTATTCCTTATTACAACCTATGAGGTAGCCTCACGCTCCTGAATATTATACCATGTAAACCACAGATATGAATTAGAAAAAGTATATTTTTTCTCATGTAGTTATGACTATAATGTCATAAACAAAAACCAATGAAAATTAAGAATATTAAAATATTACCATCAAATGGTCTTTGGATAACACAGTTTAAATTTCACGCTTTTTAGGAAGGATTTATGGGCTAGGTGGCAGAGTAACTTTATGGATGGTTAAAATAGTCTATTTCAGTAACCAAATAGTTTATAGACTAAATCATTAATTATAAAAGACTGCTGGATACTATGACATCACAAACTTCCTCTGGATACTACAGGGTATGTAAATTCTTCAGAAGCATGGCTCAGTATCCCAGGGGAGACAAACTGGGTACTAACCCCAATAGGAATGTGGGTTTTATCCCTGAAATAGACAAAGACAGGAGAAGGAAGGTAGACTTGAATAACAAGACTGGGATTCTTGTCTGGGCTCTGCCTTGAACCAGCTTTATAACTATAGATAAAGTCGCTTCCTCTTTCTCAGTTAGGAAATGAGGTGCTAAATGGGGCAGGTCTATTATAGTCCCTTTACAATGTTATAATTCAACATACTAAGAATATGATTTTTGCCAGCGACTAAGGAGATCCATGTAGGGAGAGTCACAGGCTTTGAGAAAAGAAAAAACGACCAGGTAAGAAATGATTCCTCCCAAATATTAAGAGGAAAGCAGTATTTGGTAAACTCAACCAGGCTACCAAAGTGCTTTAACACCCAGAATCTCAAGCTTATTCAGAAAGTCTGCCAGGCAGTTAGGGTTTTACAACTCTAATCTTTGTAGGCAGAAAAATGGGTAATTGAATTAGTTTTCATTTTCACATGAGACTAGACCCAGATTACTGTTCCTGAGCAGGGTATGTGAAATCTAATTTTCTACCTTCAAGCCAAAACAACCACATCTTTTGAATTTTGGATTACTTCTTCCATGTAAAGATTTTTTAAATAAAAAATAAAATATTTTATTCCTTACTTTGTGATCTTGGAAATAATTTTTTTGGCTACTTAAAATATATATATTCATAATTTATTTAATCATCTCTTCATTCAAAGTAAGTATTGAGCATTTACTCTGCACCTAGTACTGGTCGTATGGTGTGCATGCACACAAACACACACACATACACACACACAGAGCTGTGTATCTTTGTTCCAAAATCCATTATAAATTCATGGATGATAGTTCTCAATATAAGGTTAAGATAGAAGATGTTTGGGAAATACCTGTCAAATACTTTCAAATACGACCTAAAGAAAGGAAAAATATTTTAAAGTGATATCTTAAAACTTTAAAGAGATGCCATAAAAAATGCTTTGTGATAAAACTCACTTATGATTATTATATTCCATATTAATAAAAATACAGCTCAATAATGCTTTGAATATATGCAACCAGGTGTGGGGAAGGAGGATACAAAAAAAGTTTTAATAAAAGTTTCCCGTTTTCAATGAGTTTACAGTACCATTTGATGCATACAATAATTTCTCAAAAAAATTAAGATACAAGGCTAAATAATAAATCTAGGAAAAGGCATAAAATTGTGTGGGGTTGAAAATGAGATCATATCTGTTTGAAGAGAAACTAGGAATGATGCAACAGCTACCACTTTTGAGCACTCTGAGTACTGTTCTAAGCATTCTACTTGTGTTAATTCATTTAACCCTCACCTAACCCTATGCTGTAAGGGCTAATAATTTGACACGCGAGGAAGCTGAGGGCTATGTCTTGAAGTACGTGTTTAGGATTTTGACTGAAGAAGGAAACCCCAAGCAAAATCATGCAGGTTGTGATGTGGCCCAGAAGGAAACTGGCTTGGTTCAGGCACAGGAGCCCAAGCAGGCCCAGGAGAGACAGCGGGTCAGCTGGCTGGGGCCATGGTGTGAAGGCTTTATGTATGGTCAACAATTCAAATCTACATTGGGGATCAAGGATACTTCAAAGGAGAAGTATGATTAGGATTGAACCTAAGTAAAATTAATCAAACAAGTGGATTAGAGTAGATGGAAAATGGAGGCAGAGACACCGGTGAGGAATCCACGTGGAATGGTTTTGGCAAGAAGTAGAGAGGGCAAAGGCAAAGGTGATGAACAGGAGCTGTGGATTCAACAGACACTGTGAAAGGAGATGGTATATGACTTTACGACTGATAACAAACAAGGAATAAAGGAAGGGAAGACTTAAAGATACCTGGTACTTTGAAATTTCGCTAAATGGATTATATCAGTTATGAAGAACCAGTAAGTAAAACCTTACCATATGAACCTTCAGGAAGCTACAGTATAAATTCACATACACACAAACTACTCATTAGTATGCAATATTAGAATAAACTTAGGACAGCAAAAAATCTGAAATTTTAACTCATTTAGTACTAGTTAATAACATGAAACAAAATGTGTATAAAACAATCTTACCCCTTTGCTGTATTCACTATCTGAATCACTGCTAAGTTCCTCAGTATTCATAATTTCCAAATCAGATTCCCCAGGTGCAATTGGCACTGTCACTGTGAGGCTGGCATTATGAATAAATGATTGACAATCACTTTCTTCCACCAAGTATTTGTCCATGCTGTTTCCAAAACCACTGGTTTTATCTTTTTCTTTGTGAAAATTGTGATCCTTGCTCATTTCAGCAAGTGTGTGGTTAGAGATGTAGTTTTCCTTCTTATAATTTAGATCTTCTGTTCGTCTTATCTCTTTGGAAATCTTTGGCTTTGTGGAAAATGCTTTTAGAATAAATTCACGTAAGGTTTGTTTCACATAATTTATTCCCTTCTTAATTCTAGCCACTGCAGTCTGGAGGTTGTTTGCATCAGTGTCTTCTTCAATTGCTGTAAGATTGTCTGAACTAAATGAGCTCAATAATAAAGCAAGAAATAGGTTGAGGACCTATGTCAGGGTGGGGATAAGGTGTGGAGAAAAAGGGAGACAGGAAATAAAAACGAAAGTAAGTGCAGTTTTCTGAAACACAGGCCAAAATCCAAACCAGCAATGAAGAGTCCTGCATTTCTTCACCCATAGATAAGAACATACGATAGGCGTAGAGGAGAAGCTAGAGTCCTCATCAGTCTCTCCATGTCTGAGCTTCTGTGAACACTGGGGAGCAGAGGTCATCCATACCCTTAAAGGGTATAAGGAGCAAAGAGAATGCTCCCTCACCATTACCAGGATGTCATTCCTAAGTTCCTTTCTACAGCAGGAA